TAACCCATCAGCTCTCCACTTTTCTTTTAAAAACAAAAGCACACTCTTAGAAACATGGGGTCCATAGTAGGCACACACATTAAGTATAAAGTAACTGTTTTGTTTATGGAATTCTGTTCAGAGATATAAAAAATAAAAAAGAGTTACACAAACATTTTTTTAATTTATTCACTCATCGTTTACGGAAACATTGGACGGATAATAAGTCTTTGACACAATAAAGTAAGTATTTCACAATTCACACATGGTCTGAAGCATTAGTATTGTTGAAAATGCTATACGTCCTATATAATTAGATTTCCAAATGTTCTAATCAAAATTAGGTGATTTCTAACGTATCCCAACTAATAATTGATTTCCCTTCTTTTTCCCTAAGGAAATATCTACCCATGGAGCTTCCACATACTCCTCATCACATACCACTTACGTAATATTTGATTTTAACTCATGGTTGACATACAAACATACCTATCTACCTATTCCTGTTTTTTTTTTCTATATTTCCTAAATGATGTGTGACTATTTGATTTAATTGCCCACTCACACTCTGTTCTTTCTTAATTTTTTAGATTTATGTGCCCTTACCCCCTACCACTGGTTTAAAATATACCCCAACTTTCTACCCATCCTTTCCCTCAGCACAGCAGACCCTCTTCCATTTAGCTTCACTTCATCATGGCAACAGAGACTGTACCCAAGCACAAAGCAGACCAGTGCTTGAAAAAGCCCAAATCCTTCTTCTTACATTACAACTTGAGCCACGCATTACTCTCTTTAATCTCCTGCTGCCTTTCCACAGCAGCTCGATAATATTTCTGTAAATATTTTCTTGGAGGTCTTTTTCTTTAGTTTACTTCCTAATTCCCTGACTCATTCAGTCCCTCCCAATAATCCATACACTCCACCAGCAACATGCTAAACCCAAGCACATAGGTGACAACAAACTGTCCGGTTGATGCAATCAGCGAGGCAGATTACCCTGTCTACTCTCTTAAAAATAGAGTCCTTAACCACTACAATCTGTCTATGCTGAAAACAGGAATGGGAGGGAGATGGGTGTTACCCACAAAGTCTAAAGATGGCAGCACTGGAACTGAGGAGATGTGAGCAAATCTCATTATTTTACATTGAATACATCATGTATCATTGTGATACATTATACGACAAAGGACATTTTAACTAAGAGGTAAAAACAAAAATTATGAAAAAAAGACAGTATTTGGATTACTTTTCCAGTATACCTTCTTTAGCTTTCTTACATTCTCAGTATGGCCTGTACAAGAGGGGATGTTCTCTCAGCTCTTAGAAGGCTCTGTTCCTCCAGTACAGCTAGTTCTTAAGTGATGTTACCAACATCTTCACTCAAATGATCAAATCTGCTAGGCTGCACAAAATCTGGACTAGCCAAACGTTTCTTCTTCCATCTCCCCTGCTACCACATAAAACTGTAACCCAAATACTACGTGCCTGTTCCCCAGCTATCTTGTCTCCTTCCACTCCACTAGAGGTATCCACTAAACTTTGCTCAGCAGAAACATTTCAATATTTTCAATCTGTCTCAATGTTGCAGTTCGCTTCTCCACATCTCCAGTACGAACTTACAAAGAAGCCACTTGCTCACACCTGCCACAAAGCTTTGGACCCTGGATGGATTCACCCAGGCATGCATTCAAGTTACAAGATATGCACTAAATCATACCTGCAATCTTGCTATTACTCATTTCCCCTGATAGAACAAAAACAAGCATACAAAACAATAATTATTTTGCTTATACAACTCTTGCTTTTTAACTCCTACTTAAAATTGCTTACTTTAAAAGAGATCAATTTAAGCAACTCAAAATGAGCAAGCTCAATGAGTTAACTATAGGTTTATCTAGCTTACAAAAGAAGAAAAAAACTACACATGTGGGAATGAAAGGACCATTCCCCCAATTAACTAAGTAGTTGAACAGAAGGAAAACAAGAATGCTTTTTATCCTTTTGAAATGTGTGTACATTTGGTGTGTGCTGGTTGTATGTAATGTAAGTGTGTTGTGTTCTGGGTGCATGTAATGTCGGTGTGTTGTGTACAGGCTTTATGTAAATTGTGTGTGCTTGCTGTATGTATTTTGTGTGTGTGTGTAGTGTGTGCTGGTTGTATGTGATATAAATAGTGATGATGATGTGTATGGTTGCCAACATTTTGTTTCTCGACTGCCCTTAATGGTGGTAGCTGTCTGATATGCAAATGGTATAGGATCTCTCTGTAATGGCACAAGTGAGCAAAAACATATTTAAGATTTGAGCTACGGAGTTTCTGTAAGCTTTTGATTAAAGTTAGCATATTCTCGGTTTTTGTTGCAGTGCATTTGCTTGAGCTCTCCCCATGCTCACTGTGCCTGGAGGGATATCACCTACACCTTGCCGACATGATCATTCATGGTTGCTGTATCTCTTGTGCAGAGAGAACTTGCTGGCATTTCAGTTCTCGACTGCCCTTCGGGGAGGGATCAGTATGATACTCAAATGGTAAAGGTTCTCTTTGTAATGTCACAAGTGAGCAAAAGTGGGAACTAACCGAAGGGAAAGCTACTGAGTTTCTCTAAGGTTTTTTATTCTCTCTTTTTGATATGTTTATAGATATATAATACTTTCTCCCATAAGTTAATATTTTTTAAATCAACTTTTGTCCTTCACACTGACTCACATACATACTTTTTTTGATACATGCACACACACACATAATCAGTCCCACTAACACACTGTACACTCTGACTGACACATACATTGATGTACACTCATCCCCTCACACATTGACCCATACACACAACAGACATCCATACACTGACCCCTCCACACACAAATTTTACATTCTTATATATACACACACTACAATGTCCCATTATGTATTTCCAATACCAGATGCCTTGCCCTATGAGTTCTCATTAGGTCTGCAGGACTGGGCTGTCTCACTGGGTCTCTACTCTATGCATAGATTGTCATTGACCATGGAGATATGATGTCATACTGTATACAGTTAGCTTTGTATGTACCATACAAGGAGCTACTAGGTTATGAAGTTTAGGAAGTTTACTAGAACTTGTGCAAATAACTGTACAATTCTAAAAAAAAGAAGAACTGAAATGCTTAACTTTTCAAGATGTTTCATGTATTAAATGTATTTGAGATGTTTCATATATTACTAAAGTCTGATTTAAGTTAGATAATAATGTATCATCTGTGTTATGTAATGGCAATGTATTGTGGTAGTTTCTCAAGTACATCCTTATATCATTATGCCAATGTTTATTTCTTAAATTTAATCTGAAATCTTAATTTCCACGTGAAGATTTTCTATAGTCAGCAGGGCTCACATATGAAAACTGAATAAAAATGAGAAATATAATGAGTACATCTTATAACTGCATATGTTTTTTGGCATCCATAAACCGATAAAGGATTTGAAAAACTAACTTGCACATATGTACGGTACTTGGGCCGCTAGTAAACATGTGATCGTTTGATAAAAAATAGCTCTTTTTAGAGCCTCAAAAACTGTTAGAAACAAAGGCAACACATTGAGAGGAAGTCTCCAATTTAACAATTTAAACTCTACAATTTAAATCTAAAATCACAAAAAATACTTGTATCTGGTTGTCTTGTTCTCAGCTTGAATGCTTTCTGATTTGTACTTCAAAAGTTTTGTAGAATTTAAACTATCTATGTATTTTTGCTGGATATAAACTGTTCACAAACAAATCAAACATGTTTTTTTCTTAATCAGAAGATAAATTAATTTTAAAATGAAACACAATGAAAAGATGGTCATGTAAGAAAGTAGATTAGACACTGATAAAAGACTAGGAGTTTAGAATTAGACTAATGTATCTCAAGAAATGGCAGGTCAGTCTGGCATAAATCAATGGCGGACCATTCAGAAAGCACTCTGATCCTCCGGAACAACACTTTCTGGAGACAGATTCCTTGTGTCCACAAAGGTGGGGCACCAGGGAACGCAGTTGGGAGAGTATCCTGAAATAGGTACGGTCCAGCAAAAGCAGGACTGTTGGGAAGCCTGGAATCAAACTATACAGGGCTGGATTTAGCTAGCAGAGAAGTCTATTGAAGTCTATGAGGACATTACTATTCAGTAAGCAGAGTAAACCCTTAAGAGAATCCTGCCCATAGTCTTAATCAACGAGAATAAATACTCATCATCATTAAATAATAAGAAGAGAAGGGATTATTCATTGAGAGAGTTGTTATAAAAAGTTAACAAAGACTTTGTAAAATCGTAAAGTTCTATTAGATAAAACATGCTCACAACACAATGTTAGTACTACCTGAATAATTTCTACAGTGATCAATGTGGCATTACATATAGCTACTATATATAATGAAATTGCTTTACAAGCTTTGTAGTGGCCCTGAAAAGATGAACTGAACATATTGCTTAAGTCTTTTTTCTTACTGTTATGTGTATTGATATTTTTAAACACTGGTATATTTTACTTACTGTGAGCATTTCAACGATGATAATGCATTTCTAATATGTGTATTTTTTGGTTAAATACGGCATGAAAATCTGCAGAGATTATCAGGATTCATTGGTTCATTGATTCAAAGAAGAGGAAGCAAGCACAAATCTAATTTTACAAGGAGATTTCTGAAAGAATGAATTTAATAGGAATCATATAATAGAACAAGGTATTTTAAATTGCATGCTCAGGTGGACGATCAGCCATTCATTTCTGATCTTTGGAAATGGTGCACTAACTCAAAAGCTACTACAGTCGTCATATTTAATAGCCACTAGTCAAGAGAGTCTGTGTTAAGTACAAAGGTGACATTGGATTGGAAATGTTTGATTATAAATCTCTTTTGCTTTATTATAAATAATCATTCTATAAATTTTAGTAAGAGGAATACTAGACTTTATAATTCTATGAACATGTCACTCCATTTATTTACATTTTAACTTTGGCAAGATACTTTTTTGTACTTTTTTTTTTAATTCTTTATTTTTCTTGCACCAATTTTAATCTGCTAAGAGGGAAGGATAGCTGAGAGTATTCGTCGGGTGAAGTGTGGCAGTTCACTGTTTGTGACTGTTTCATTGATCCCTCTAAATCTAAGATTGTTGCGCCGTCGCGCATCATCCATGGCATCCAGTCTGATCTGCATAGCCTGGTGTGTGGTCTTAAGGCTCTGGACTTCTTCACCGTGCCCTGTTGGTGCTGTGTGAGGGAAGAGACATCCTCCTTTGTGGCATTTATCCAGTCAGTGATTGCCGTTTGCTCCTCTCTCAGTATGTCCAGGTCTGCTCGGAAGATATTTTGGGTGTGTTCCAGGAGGCTCATAATATAGCCCTTGGTAGATGGAGTTTCCATGTCACTTGTATGCACCGAGAGATTATGGTGTTCAGCCTCCGGTATGGGGTCTGGTGTATCTAATGGCTCTTCCTCGGAGGACGAGCCGCTTGGATACGCCATCTTGGGCCTAGGCCTCTTCGGGAACATGTTCTGGATGCTTCGGCCCCTGTCCCCAGAGTGGCTTTTAAGTTTTTTTTTCAGTTTCCCCATGTGCTCCTAGGGTTCAGGTACTTATGTGGGGCTGTGTTGTCGCCTGTATAGTGGTTAATCTGGAGGTTAAATAAGTCGGCATTCTGGAGCTCCGCACACCTGCGAACGTTCTCGGCTAGCTTCAAACCACGCCCCTCTTTTTTGTACTTTAATCTTGAATATGTTTCCAACGCAGCACCTATCAATATGATATTAATATGTATATATTTTGCAGAATAATGTCAGGTACATTTTCCCACCATTGCGGTGGGTGTGTCACATTTATTTTTTCCAAAATAAATATATGGAAAAATATAAACTCAACCAAAATGCCACATGGACAAAACTTAAATCACCTGAAGCAAACATTTTTTAAAGAAGAATCGATTCAGATGTACTGAGTTTTTTTTGGCACAAGTGTACATGCTATGCTGTGTATCCTACTAAACTCAAATGTAACAGAAATAGCAACACTAAACAAGAACAGTGAGTTTTACTTATTATCGGAGCAGGGAGCTTTTTGGTGTTCGGTTTATCACATCAGTGAACAAGACAACAACCACAAGCATATGTCACGCAACTTATCAGACAAGGGCTTAACAGTGACCAGTTTTAGTGCTAAATCATGGGAAACTTTATTTTGAACTACTTATTTAACATATGCTGAAATGAGATGGAATATATAGGTGAAACTGCTGCAGAGAAAAACATGGTCACGTTAGAGATATCAAAGTCTGGCCTGGATAGGAAGCAATGTGTGATCAGAAGGAAAGCAGAGATGACATCAGGCTGAGTTCAATCACAAATTTAAGACATGAAGAGGTCAAACCTGTGCCCTCATGAGCAAAGTCAAAGAAGAACATAGATCAAGCACAGTCTATTAACAAATGTAAGACAGGCAGTGGTCATGATGTTTAAACCAAGACTAAGTAAAGGTCAGGGAAGGCAGAGATCTGTTCAGTCATGAACCTGTTTTAATACAAAACTGAATCCAATGCTAGGCAGAATGCATTTGCAATGGAAATACATAGACAAATGCTAGATGAATAATATAACTGATTACCATGAGCAATAATAAGAAGTAAGGACATATTTTATTAAATGACCATCTTTGAAAGAGGTGAAGTGGTGAAACCTTGGCCCTTTCTCTCTCTAAGTGCCCTCCATGTCGTTTAGTCATTATGCTTACGATTAATTTCTGTGGAGAGATGAAACCCATTAAGTCATTTTGTTGTTTCTATAATCCGTTACGTGAATGCACTTTTACTTTGGAGCATGTAATGTTTCCTTGCATTCATCTAATAGTGATGCTTTATTGTTATCCTTAATAGGTATATATTGGCTGTAATTTTTAGATGCATTATGTAAATAGAGCATTAAAATGTTTGTAATAAATTAAAGTATGAAAACGTAACCTTTACATCTCAAAACCTTCCTTGTGTAGACTGCTTAATGTATCTGCCTACATCTGCAGAGAGTTTCCTCCCACCGAGATTTATGGTATAAGTAGCTTATCCTGTGCTTGATAAGATGAATTAAGCTGGTCTATAACTAGTATCAGTTTGTACACACCCCAGTTGATTGTTTAGTGACTTAGGTTGTGTTTTGCTAGCAGAAGGGCTGTGGATTCCACATGCTGCTTCAGGTAGGCAACATCCTCCCCTATGTGTACACAATGTTTGTATGCTGCATGCACAATAAAGACATAATTCATATAAAGCCTTCCAGATTGCCTGACTGAAAGCAAATGCGGCTTGGAGTATTAACAGTACTGGACTGATCATTCGGGCACTCGGGCAATGCCTAAGGGCCTAGGCCAAGGAGAGGGCCCTGCCATGCTTCCAGGTTTGGGTTCTCTCTGCTTTGGACAGCTGTGGTACTCTATTTCAAATGATGCCACTGCACAGTGACCAGTGACAATATTTAAATCTGGAGAGAGTGTTTGGCCCCGGTGGCAACCAGGTCTTGACCTGCATTGCTCCCAGGGGCTTTGGTGTTTATAGCATTACAGTGGGTTACAATGGCAATGCACCATACACTGGAGTTTGCAAGAGCTGATACACTGGACCACCATGGAAGCATTGAAGTGTAGTTCCCACCAGACCACCAGGGACTCCCCCTGCCTGTCCAAGATTAGTCACAGGGCAGAATAACTTTATTTAGTTTTTTGTTTTTACTAATAATGTTTTTATTAAAATAATTTCTCCTCAGCCTTTATTCCTCTACTACAGCCCCTACCCCCATTACAGCCCTTATAAATCAACTAAAGCCCCTATACCCCCACTAGAGTGTATTATAAGAATACTATCCCACCACTAAGCCCTAGTACAGCCGAACCCAAGAGACCCTATCCCCCCACTACAGCACCTTTCCCCCAACAGAGCCATTGTCTTCCCACTACAGCCCCTACACCTCTATTACAGCCCCTACACCCTATCACTATGGGCTCTGTTCCCTATTTACAGCCCTCAACCCCCTACTACAGCCCCTATTCCCCTAATACAGTATCTATTCCCACACATCAGCCCTTATTTCCCCACTACAGCCCCTATTTTATAATCATTCCCCTCAGCCCCTGTCTCCCAACTACAGCCCACATCCCCCTACTACAGCCTCATTCCCCCGATTAAAGCCCAATTCCAAAAACTGCTGTCCTCAACCCCCACTACAGCCATCAACCACCACTAGAGCCCCTACCCAAACACTACCGCCCCTTATCCCAACTACAGATCCTCTCCCCCACTAAAACCCTTATTCTCCTTCTACAGCCACAATTCCCCCATTGCAGCCCTTATCCCCCACTAGCCCCTGTCTCTTTACTATGGTATCTGTCTCCCCACTACAGCCCCTATTTCCCCACTACAGCCCCTATCCTCTCACTACAGACCCATTTCGCCATTGCAGGCTTCAACTCCCCATTAGAGCCCTAAAATTCCCACTGCAGCAACTATTCCCCAACTACAGTCCCAATGGCCCCACTACAATCCCTAATCCCTCATTACATCCCTTAACCCCTGATGAAAGCCCTTATTCCCCCACTACAGCTCCTAACCCCCAACTACAGCTCAAATTTCCCTACTAAGTACATATTCCCCCATTACCTATTCCTTATCTATCACCATAGATAAGGAAAACAGGGACAACTCAATTTCCTTGTCAAGTCCTATTTTCCCATGATACTCACTTACCCGATGTATTCCTCATCTTTATTCTCATGTTGCTCCCTAGTCTTTATCAGAGCATTGCCCAGTACCTTTGCTTATGGGTGGTGGCCATGTGCAGGGGGAAATTTAGAAAAGAAAGAGTCAAGGGGACAAAAAAAAGTTTGTGTTAGGCCATGACAGAGCCACTTTAAATGTAGATTGCACTATACGTATATATATTTAGAGTAGAGTTAAATTTTACTTCTGCCACTTGGTAATTGAAACAATTAGATGAAATTAACAATTCAATAGCTATGTTTTATTAAAACAGTTATAATATTTTTATATATGTTCTAGTCCTATTTAGAGAGCTCTTTATCCCAGTAGTGCTATTTATACTTAAGGTATTTTCATTTAAAGCTGCAGTCACTATTTGATCAGGATAGGTTGTATTTGCAGGAAAATACTTCAGGATACTCAGGATACCAACATATTCAGTGCACAAATACATAGTATAAACTGTTTGATATGCAGATAGTGAAGAGAACTTCTCCTCCTTACTCAACCTGCTTCCTATTTTTTGAAACAGCTTCCACTAAACCTTATTCTTAAACAATATCCAGTCGCACACCGACCTACGTGTTGCTAGCATTTCTCCTGTGAGCTCACAGCATCAGATCCCCTAAATCCAATAGTCCCTGAACAGTACTTTATACACTAATGTAATGTTTTTTCTTCACTTATCAGCTAGCAACCCATGTTTAAAAAAAAATGTTATGTTAATTTTATGAAAAATAACTTGATATTGAATGGGTTACATTTTCTTTTAGGTTACACAGTTATGCAAATCAAGATTTTGGGTAGGTGTTGATAATGATAGCTTAATTTTAATATGTTTGTCTGAATACGAACACTAAAGTAATTTTTTTGTATTTTTTCTCCCCTATTAAATAGCTGGAGGGATTTTGGGAAATAGAAATGTCCATTGACTTACTTTATATAGACATTTTTGTAAAGGCAAAAATTGTCAAAAGCTTTAACTCAGGACCTGAGTGAGTCAAACATATTTTTAACACGTGTGCTCCGGCATGATTGGTCTTGAAGAGACTCTATAGCTTTTTGGAGGTCTTTGCTTTGTTAAACAAGGTTGAATTTAAGTCTTGGCCTTTTCAGCCTCGACATCTATTAAACTATGTAAGAGATTCCAATAACCTGTGACAAGCCACATGAGGTGGTCTTTGGAATGCTATCTACATTTGATGGTACCACCTGTGAAGTGACTCTCATTCATTTCCTTTAATCTTTACATTCTGTCTGCTACATGTCAAGACTGTGTTACAAGAACTACAGGTACATATAGGGGTGAAGACAAGTTGAAATATTCACTGTAGCCCAGGTCACTAACTGACTTTATTGCACAGTTTACTTGGTTTGCTATAACATTTGTGAGGATGAATTTCTATGTTCCTAAACATATTTTCAAGGACCTAAGGCAGTTAAATTAAAGTTTTTGCATACTATGCTGTTACTATTGACATGCGTAACCTCTGTATTATTACAAGTGTTGATAAATTAAATATCCTGCCAGAAAGAGAAAACATGCACATTTGGCAAAATATGCATTTAGTATATAAGCCAAAAATGCCCTTATTAAAGTTACTAACGACCTAATCGCAGCTAAATCCAAAGGCCACTACTCCATACTAATTCTTCTTGACCTCTCAGCGGCCTTTGACACCGTTGATCATGCTCTCCTTCTTCAAACTCTGCAATCGCTTGGTCTCTGTG